AACAGACAAATGAAACAGCAGGTGAGCTCTCTACCTCTAAGCTTCAGGAGGAAATGCTAGCTCCTGGCAAAAGAAAAGCAACCAACTGTTGCCCTATTGGACCCAAAAGGAAAATCACAATAGGTCGAGACTCAGGGTTCCCACACGTCCCTTGCTCTCTTTTTCCGTGTGGCTGGGGAGGGAACAGGGCAATGGACCGAGCCTGAGCCAACTGACACACAAGCCAACTTTCCTGCAGTTAAGCACTCCACAAATTTTTGTCAAAGATATACACTCAACTAAACTGCTGGCCAATTTTCCCCGGGTGTGAATATTTATTATTTCTACAGTTTGAATTACTACACCTTAAATCGGTATTTCTTTTTTTTTGTTTTGTTTTGTTTTGTCTCCGGTACCGGGAATCGAACTCATGACCTTGCGCTTGCCAGGCAGGGCTGTGCCGCTGAGCTAAATCCCCAGCCCTTAAATCTGTATTTCTATTTTCAATCTGTTCTGTACGATTATATCCTCTCTGTTACCTACTAGTTCTGTGGTTTGTACATTTCATGTAGTATTACTGAATACCATACATACATAAAACATTGCTTTGAAATCTTTTTTTCAACTGTGAAGCGGGCCCTCTACTGTAAGCTGCACCCTTAGCCTGTGTTTTATGTTTAATGTATCTTGCACTACCTTTTAAACAAGGAATTTTCCTGATAATCTATAAATTTATTTTTCTAGGTGAACACAGGTATCATTTTATAAAATCCTTCTCAGAATATTTTGTTGATATTTTACTGGAATGACACTGAATATATTGAGGATTTTTACGCCATTAATTTTTTCCTATCAGGAATATGTATATTCTACTTATGCTGTTTTCACAAAAAAGCCTTCAAGGGTTTTTTCATGGATCCTATCCACATCCTAACATCCCTATAATAAATCCTTTTCTACTTTACTAATAATAATGATTTTTACAGATTAAAATTTTAATTAGCCCTTGATGATTCTATTTTCCAAGTAGAGATGACTGAAGAATAGTACTTTTTTTCCTTTCCGTTACTTATGGCTTGCTTATTTTTCCTAACAGAATTGCCTAGTATTTCCCAACTGTGTTAAAAAGTAGCAGTGCAGATCACAGTTGCTCTTTCTTGCCCTTGAATGTTACAGGACACTTGTACGGCTTTGCCTTCCGGTCTGATTTGACTTGGAGCTTCCTATGATTATCTTGGTCAGTGTCAGTTCGAAAGTCCTGTCTCCAGGAAGCGTTTCCTACCTCTGCTCTCTAATCCTCAGTCCTTTGTCAACTTCTTACGTTATTTTCTTCACATCAATTATCCCTGTTTCTATCCCATTATATGTCAAATTCTGAACTTGTTTTGTATGTTTTCCTTTTTCCTTTCCTTTGAATAAGAGCTCCACTGGGGCAAGAACCTGGTCCAGCCAGGACCATAGTACCTTTCTAGTTCTTAATCCATAAACTCTGGACCTCTCAGCTAAGAAACACTAACGTCTTCCCGTTTCCTCACCAACAGTGTCACTGTGCTGCATTCGGATGTGTCCTTGCCTCGGTCACCAAGTGTAATGTTTGTTTCCTTCAAGCTCTCATGAACGCAGCAATACTCTGATCTCCCCTGTTTGGGGTCATGATACCTTTTTAGACATTTCTTACAGCTTCATAAGACATTGCTTTTTATCTTTTGTCAAGAAATACTAGCCCCAGGGTGTGGTGCCATATATGCATGAACACCCAGCACTCTGCGGAGCTGAGGTAGCAGGGTTGCAACTGAAATGTCAGGCCAGCCTGGGCAATTTAGTAAGACCATGTCTCAAAACTTGAAAAAATGCAAATGGTTCAGGACATACATCAGCACAAAGCTCCTGCGTTCAATCCCCAGTACCACAATTAAAACAAAACAAAGCAAAATAAACAGGAAAAAAAAAGTTCAAAGTAGTAAACTCCCCTTGTTCTGTCAGTGGAGTCAGGGTTGTGCTCTTGTCTGCTGGGACCTAATTTTTCTCTTTTCAGTGTTAGCAGGAAGTGTCCCATATTCCAGTAAAGCCAGGAGACCAGAATGGGGGCCCGAGATTCTCCCAGCATCCCTTGCTGTCTCCCTCAGGGGCTTGGCCTGTTCCTGCATCCAGCTCCTTCCACCCTACCTCATCCCATCCTCCTAGCTTCAGATCCCCTTCTGCTTTAACTACAGGAACTCCACTTTCTGAATGGACCCAATAATGCAGGGATGTAGGCCATGTGCAAAGCTGTAAGTTTCCTGTTTTTCTCTCAGTGGCCATCACTTTATAGAACAGGGTTGTCTTTCAGTTTTGAGGAGGGATATTTTGGCTTTTTAAAACTTTTAAGCATTAGAGATTTTATCTGCTCCCTTGTCCTCCAATTACAGTATTTTAGATTGTACCTTTGGACTCCACTTTTTAAATGGATATAGAAAAATGATGCCTGAATTGCATTGAAATTTTTAAAAGCTAGAGCTTCCTCCAACCATGGCAGTATTTTGCCAAATTTTAAGTCATAAAGATGGTAAACTGTTAAGCATCAAAAATATGGAAAAGGGGCCAGGGATTTACTCAGTAGTGCAGTGTCTGCCTCGCAAGTGTGAGGTCCTGAGTTTGATTCCCAGTACCCTCTAAAAATGTGGAAAGAAGTGAAATTTAAGGTTAGACTTTAGAATGATTCTCGTCAAATTCTCTTAACCACTGTATTTTTATAAAAATTCTTCACTAATTCAAGTAAGAACACCTGTTCAGCCCCCACCATATGCCCATCCTTTTAGGGGACAGGGACATACCCTCCTCCCCCGAGACATAATCACTGTTCTAACATTCTGCTGTTCTAAGTGAAACCTTGAAACTACCTCAAAGAGCTGGTAAGTCTACTCTGACCTTAATACCCCACATAAGCTGACCACACTGGGCAGTCAACAGGCATCTTGAAAATGGAAGATGCTCCCTTGTGGGACACATACAATGGCTTCAGCAACTGTCCCAATCCCACTCATCCTAACATTCTCGCAAAGGCAGGCAGTTCTCACACCCCAGCCATTCTAACAGCACGCGGATGTGCAGTACACGTTCTACAGGTGACACACCTTACAATGGAGCTCGAGTTCCCCATTCCTGCCCTTACAAGACGGATCTTGCTGAGTGTCATGAAATCCACTGAACTCGCGCTGTGCCCAATGGTGCTGCTTTGTGAAGCCAGTTGTCTCCGACCCCATCTCACCCAGTCCTGCCCTCAGTTCCTACTGGCCCGTCTCAAGACTGTCACACAACAGAATCCTGTTCACTTATTCCTAAAATCATCACAGAGCGGCTTTTGTTACTACTATGCAGTTGCTTACTCTGATCACCAGTTTTGGAATAGAAAGGTATATTCATTTTTAAAGCTGATTTGTTCCTATCTTTCAGAGACCCAATATCAAAATTTAGAAAACAATTTTCAGTGACCTCTCTGAATTTTCAAGCCTGTTTTACCGGAAGCCCTTTACTGTAGTCCACTCAACAAGCATTCAGACTATTTATCAGGTGCAGTCCTTTAAGAAAACTAGTGGACAAGTGAAACACCTCCAGGGTTGTGATGAGCAGCGGAGAAATGGGTGGGTGAGGAGCAAGAGGTAAAGTGCAGAGGCTCTGATGTGACAGCCATGTAGTCAAGTTGGGGTTTTGTCCTAAGTCTAAAATCATCAAAGGAGCATACACACAACGTCACAGTACCTATTTTACTTCACTATGCCAGCTCCCCGGAGAGCTGTGTGTGTGAGACAAGAGTAGCATGGGAAGCAAGTAGCAGAACTTAGAAGCACAGGGGGTCCTGAAGGGGTCAGGGTAGACAACTGAGGTCAACATGGAAGCAGGGAGCAGCTCTCAGATCTGAAATACATTTTGAAGACACAGCTAGTAAATCATTTAAAAGTGGGGTGTTAAGAGTAAAAACCACCTTGAGTCTTCAGCAGTCAGTGAAAGGATGGTGTCAATTTCTGAAAAAGCACACTAGACAACCAAATCTGAAACACAAGAGTTCTCTTCAGAGACCTTACCACATTAATGACACGTGTTGCCGGGAACGCTAAAAAAGGAGCCATCTGGATGTATCTGACATAGAAAAGGGTGACCCAACAGAGTGACTTCACCTATACGGACTGTGCTTTAGGGCACTCCTTAAATTCAGAGGTCAGGAAAGGAACACAACAACATAACAGGTCTTGGACAACCCCAAATTCAAGCTACAGTATGTGCATGCACGCATGTATGATGGGTGTGGGCCAGGAACTCAAGCATGCTCATCACTACCACTAAGCTGTATTCCTAGCCCTCAGATTTTTCATTAAAACTGAGGAATTAAGACATTGTAGACTATTAAAACACCACTTTTATCAGTCATCAATATTTTGAACTTACTCAAATGCAAATTTTACACTATTTCCAAACAGTTCTGAAATAACTGCACCATATAATCAAAACATATTTATTACTTTTAGTGTCATTTTGTACATGTGTACAGATACAATTATAGGCATATTCACAGGTATTAAAATCTGTATATTCAAACCCAGCACCTACGTACAGCAGTTCTAAGTCCTGAACTAGAAGACTACGGTATGCAAAGTTTTTACTCTCTGCCCTACATGCTCACCCTCAAACTGAAGCTCTGGGTTGTACGTAAACAGAACACAAAACTGCATTTTAACGGATGATGCATTCTTTACAAGATGTTAAGCCACCCCTTCGAAAGATTTTACAACTGTGAAACACATCACGTAAGGCTTTTAGTCATTCATTTGGGCTAACTAAAAGAGCATGCCTTGAAAGAGCTGGTGTTTGTAGTTTTCAATGCGCATTAAAACGAACTGTAGCCCAAGTTTTAAAATCAAGTTTTACTGAACAGAAAAAGGAAAGAGATAGGGAAGCTGTTTCTTCAGAGGACAGTTCTTCTAACAGATTGCACCACTGCAAAATGTGTTTTTTGCTATAGCAGTTAACATCTGAATATGGAGCACTTTTTTTTTTTTTTTTAAACAGAAAATGTCCTAAAATTCCTGAGGGCTACTTCTATTTTCACATTATCCAAACTGAGGTACATGCTCAATTCCATAGCAGTGGGCCAACTAAACACTGTGTCTATTTTAATATATGGTCCCTAGTCATTTCAAGCAGGTTAGGAGCTGGATATCATATTTACATTATAAAGTGCAATATTTAAAATCATTTACACAGAATTGTAAGTGGAGCAAATATTATAAAAATATTGCCACAAGAAAATCTAGCATTAAAAAATCTATCACCAAGAAAATTCCAAGTAGGCATCTTCTCCCCAGTATATATAACTAATTTCTTAGGGATATAAACATTTTTTAAACAAAGGAAAAGTGTGACATAAGCTATTAGCAAATCAAATTCTTATTTACCTAAATCACAAGTTGTCATATGAATGTTTATTCACCCTCTTTCATTATAAATTGCTCAGCTGCTCCTAGGAAAGATACAGTAAGGGTTCTAGCTTAACAGCTCTTTGGGGTTTCGTTTACATGCACTAATGAAGTCCAGGAAATGGCAATAATCACAGGCATGAACATTTCATGACAAACATAATTCATGGCATTTCTCTTTTCTTACATTTAAAAAATATTAAGTCACAAGAGAAAAAAAATCAGCTTCCAGTATGACTTAAATTCCTCTCTATTAGAGGGAAATATTTTTCTATTTCTGAAAATACCAACAAAAGCTTAGTTTACTTGTGAAATTAACTGGAAAAATCCAACTGTTGTTAACCTGTATAATTTAAATATAATGAAAGCACAAGAGCAATTCTGAAATTCAAGTTGGTATCTCGAAGTAGTTAACACTGATGTAGATGCAAACCATCAGAGCTGAGCCCATGGTGCTGGCAGTTCTGGAAGCACTCATCTGCCTCAACCACCACCTGGAGAAGCCCGCTAAATTACAGGTTAAAAGTTTGCAGTATATTTTTCTGTGGACCAGAACATTTGATACAATACTGGTAGTGTCATACTAAGGCCACATGACTTAGTATTTTTAGCAAAGAAAAAAAAACAAGGTAATTTTATAGTAGCAATAGTTTCTTTTTTTATTTTAATATACTTTAGGAAACAATATACAAAGCTGAGCTTTCCCACTATTTCCAGATAACAGCAGGAAGCTCCAATTACACAAATTTAGCATTTTGTGATGGCTAAGAACAGCAGTCAGCACCAGACTTGAACAGTTAGCTACAACACAAACATCCTTCAAAATGAAACGTCATAATAGCAAGACAGGTAAACCAGGGCTTAACAAATGACAACCACTTGGGAAGTGACTTAATCGTTCTTGTTGAATTTCATTTTCATTAAATATCTTATACACAATTTCTTGTTAATATGTTCTGAACAAAATGTTCCTTTAGGAATTATTTCCATTAAGTATAAATATTCAACAAGAATAGTTCTGATAAAGAATCCCCAGGTAGTTTAAATTCTAATGTGCATTGACCGAAGGAAAAGAAAAATAACAATTTTTTGTTTGTTTTAATGTGTTTATTACAACAGATACAATTCACATCTGACTAGCTTTGTTTCCTCTTTCCCCTCCCCACAACCATGTTCATTGGGCCATTTCCTTATAATTGAGCAACTGGTGTACTTTCAGCACACATGCTCTGCAGTACTTTAAGTCCATTCTTACAGGGTGCAAATGGATTTTCAATAATTTATACAAACAAGTGGGTTATGCTCAATCACTGCAATTTTAAGCTACTGTACACAGGAATGAAAAGGTTATAGAAAAGTGCCATAGCAACAGTGCCTTAAGAAAGGAGTCTTAAAAAATGGGTAAAATCAGATCAAGGATTTAAGAGGGAAATGGAACACATGGGAAATGAAAAACATTTCTCTGCAAAACAAATGGAGAAGCACTGCTCTTGATCAGGTGCAAGTGTGGAAACAGTTGTTTCATGATATTTTGTACACTGCCCATATGGTTCAAAATCGCATCCTTAGACACAGATCGCCTGGCGCTTGCACTGAATTTTTGAAAATGCAAGATTTCTGAATGATAAATTAACCCCCCCAATTTTGTTTTAAAAAAGCTAATTTTGCAGACAGTTTTACATGTAAAAGGCTAGGTACTTAGCCACCTCAGCATTGATTAGTTTTGGATGTCTAAGCTCTGTTACACATGGCTTCCCATGGCTTCACTCTACAAAACATATTTACAACGTGAAGAATACATCTACAAGAAATCTACATTTCAGGGTTTCACAAATCAATCTTGTATCTTCCCCCTGAATTGACTCTCACAGACCCTACCCCCTTGCCATTTTTGCTGCCCAGCTTAACGGTCCAAAGCCTACTTAAATGCAGCTCAAAAATGTTAAGATTGGGCAATAAATTTATAGTTCCTGTACTCAAAACCATGTGCAATTATTCACATCTTCACACCATAAAGGAATTCTGATTTTTTAGCTTTTCGAGTTCCTTAATTTGTTGTCTCAAAAACAGTATCCTGAAAAACAAAAGCAGACATCAGAATCTGTGTGATCATACAATACTACAGAACTGAAAATATCTTACAACTACACTAATTAAATCTGTATTATTTACAATTAAGATAAAATAATCTATAACACATGACAAGAATCACAGTAACAAAAGCTGCAATATTTCTTAGTTTTCTAACGAAGTCTCAGTAATCAAATATAAGGACTGATTTAAGATAAAACCATACTGCACATGTTCTGGCCCATAATATTAAGATCAGATTTTACTAAGAGTCCAATCAACTTGATGGGCAATACTCAATGTAGATATGAAAAATTGAAGCCGAGATAACGACGGTTAACAATTTTATTATTTTGAATTGGCAAGTACAGAGGGTTCTGAATGTGCCCAACAAGAAGAAATGTTTGAGGTGATGTTGCCAATTACCCTGATTGTTACATACCATCTATATGTAATTTAAGGGCCCAATGAACTGTACAATTATGGAAAACGGGGCTGGGGCTGTAGCTCAGAGGTAAAGTACATGCTAAATATGCTTGAGGCCCTGGGTTCAATCCACAGCTCAGTTCTCCAGTTTCGTGTTTTTCAAACGAAACTAAGTCAAACTCCAACTGCTAAGCTGTATACTTCACACACAAAAAATACAAACTTTACATACTCTACAGTTACCTAGACTTTCACACTATGAAATCTTTTTCTGATCCTTCTGTTCTGTAAACTGTGATATTTATTACCTGCAATACTGGTGAGTTAAGGCATAATTATACACTAGATTGATATCTGACCATGTGTACTATTTTCCTTAGGACACAAAATGACCAGTGTAATTTTTTAAATAGTGGAAGAAGTTTTTCTTTATGTCAATTCCAGATCCTAAACTCAAAAAATCCGAATTGATATTCGCAAAGTACTTATTTTAGAACTGAAAAACTAGTCTTCAAAGTTGACTACAAATCCAAATTTGGTATTTAGTAAACATTTGCAGTTTCATGACAAGATTAACCCCACCCTCTGAAACCAGTGATATACATAGGATGTAAAGCACCTGAAAGTTTGCCCTCAATTTTGTAACAGGAATTTAGATATTCTACTTAAGTGAAATACGAGATAAGTAGTGGTAGAAAAAGTATAGTCGTAGATAAACTATACCATTAAAGCACTGACAAAATGTTTTCCATATCACAATCCCCAAGGGATCTGTAGCTGATACAAGGATAATACTGACTACCAATCTGAAATCTCAAGTGAAACACCCTAAGTACTAATCTCCAATCAAGAGATTGATAATTAGCTGTTGTTACTTTTGAAATAATGTCACTATAGCTTACAGTTATGGAAAAAAAGCTAAGAAAGATTTATCACGGGAGTTAAGAAAAAATGTTTTGCCATTCAAGAATGAACAATTATGAAAACACAGTTACAGAACAAGATCTATCAAAGAGAATTTTAGATTTTAAATGTGAAATCTGTGTTCATTAGCCATCCTCCTATATCCACTGTTTCTCTCTCTGTGATATAGGTATTTGCAGTTCAAAAATGATAAATTCCAGACACAAGTGGTGAGACCCAGTTTCTCACCGTCTACTCCATCTCACCCAGGGCAAGACTCATTCTTTTGTCCACTGTGAACATGCTGTATGTATGACCTGCTCAGCAGTCACTTAGCAGCAGCCTTCGTTAGCTATCAAACTGACCATTACAGTATCATAGTACCTGTGTTCAAATAACTCTCACTTCAGTAAATGTCCTGAAAGTACAACAGCAATGATGCCAGCAACTGCAACATGCCAAAGAGTGCTGTAAAATACTTCCTTAAGTTAAAAAGTGAAAGTTCTCAACCTAATGACAAAAGAAAAAACTGTATGCCAAGGCTGCTAACATCTATAGTAGGAACCAATTTTCCATCCATGAAATAATGAAGGAAGAAGAAATTCATAGTAATTTCATTGTTGCACCTGAAACTGGGAAACCTACAGTCATAGTGTTATACATACATGGTTAATTAAGATGGAAAATGCATTAAACTATGAGGTTTGGTATCATCTATGGCTTTAGGGATCTAATGGATTCTTGGAAAGCATAGCACTCTGAATAGGAAAAAGGAATAAGTCTACATTAACATTACAGAACATAAAACTTACCTTTGCTCTCGCAAAGTTGCTTGAATTTCACATACTCGGACTAAAGATCTTAAGTTTTTTAATTCAGTACATATTTCTGACATGTGAACACTACCCATGTTATGGGCTTCTTCACGTAATCTTGATGCCTATATTTAAAGAAATAAAAGATTACACAAAATGTTACTGTAAGTAGTATTCATGTATATAAACATTACATTTCCAAGGAAAACTTCATACTAAGATCACAGAATAAGCTTTTCCAATAAATGTGCAAAAATGCTGACACACTTAAAGGAAAAAACAGTATCTAGAAAACTATCTCTACTGAGGGAAGGTAGTTAACTATTTGACTTCCTCAGGTTTCCTAAATAAATAGCATTTCTAAGCACAGGACAGTTTAATGCTGTAATAGGAAGAATCAAAATCTATGTTAATGAAAGATGGCCAGTCACCAAACAAAACTGTCAGTCTGGTTTTTTAGGCACTGGGAATTGAACTCAGGACTCCGCACTTGCCAGGGAGGTACAGCACCACTGAGCTCTATCCCCAGCCCAAAACTGTCAATCTGAAAGTTCAGGCATAGTACTGATGACAGAACCTTACGAGGGCTGGTGGCGTAGCTCAGTGACAGGGCAGTTGCTAGCATGCATGATGCCCTGGGTTCAATCTCTAGTACTGCCAAAAAACATAAACAAAAAATGACATAACATACATGTAACCATACACCACGTAAGTTTCTGTGAACTTTCAGACATTATAGATGGCCAGATATCTAACAAACGGAGTGCAGATGGCAGTTAACTGGAATGTGCTAGTCTCATCTCTTGAGCAAAAATATTTATAAATTTTTAGCTTATAAACGAATGTTTTACAAAATGACTACAGACAATGAAGTTATATATACAACTCAAATTCAGCAGTCTTAAGATTTTCTTAAAAGTGGAATTCTCCCTTTTGTTAATCACGAATTCTGTAACATACCTGCTTCTCTGCGTGGTCTGCAGGCCAGCCCTGAACATGTTTTATGAGACTTTCATTGAAGTGTGCTGCAAGTGTAGGTGTTAAGGAACACGCAGGGCGGGCAGATGAGTTCTGTGGTACAACTGTTGCATTTGATGCATTACTACTTGAAGTGTGATTTGGACCAGGTGATGGACTTCTCTGGCTACTAAGAGAGAAAAACAATTATAAATAATATATTTTAAAGGTGGATTCTAGATATTTTAGAAATTGCCTGTTAGTAATGTCTATACAAATTCCTACAAAAATTTTATTTTACATTATACAAATTCCTACAAAATATACAAATTCCTACAAAAATTTTATTTTACTATCAAATAAACAGAAATCCAAAGTACATTTATATTATGCATTCCTCAATAACCTTTAGGGAGAAAAATGAGCCTTTCTGACACTACTGTCAAATTCAAATTTAAAATAATTACATTCTCCAAATTTCGACAGCAGAACCTGCTGACTATATACCACAAAAACTAACAAGAAATAATGGTCATATTAAATAAATCGTCATATTTTAACAGTTACAGATGAGGCACATATGAATATTGTATCTCATATAGAGGGTGGAATAACGTGAAGCAAAACACAGGCATTTAAAAATTGGATAGCACTGAATGAACACAGTGGCAAAATAAGACCAAAAATGTTATTACTGAGGTTATCTTCTTTTAAAAGTCAATGGTTTGGGCCAGGGTTTGGGGATATGGTGGTGAGAACCAAAAATTTAATCACCCAAGTTGATTTCCTACCTGCTTCACCAGACTTGGCTCTGAATGAATTTCAGTTATTTCCAAAAACTAAATCTCCCAAAGGATGAAGAGTTTTCACCACTGAGGACATTTAAAATAATACTGCAGCCTCTAAAGACAATTTAAAAGAAGAATTTCCCAAAAATGTTCTGAGCAATAGCAACATTGCTGGAGTAAGCAGACAGCTTCCCAAGGTGATTATTTTGAAGGGAACAACTCTCACTTGGAGGTTTAAGTTCTGAAATGTTTGTTTAGAAAACAACAATAAAAACAGTTGAATTATTTTGCCACCTCATAGCATGAAATAAAAATAGGAAAATTAAATAAAAACCATTCATTCAATAAATTTTATTTAAAGTTGTACTGTTAATGAACAACAGAAAATGAAAACACACCACAATGTTACATAACTATGTGAAGAGCAACGTGTAGAGAGGGTCAGAGCTAAAGTTATTGCAAAGCTGAGGGGTCGGTCCATCAGCTGGGAAACATGCCCAAGTTTAGACTTCCGTGACTGTCAAAACTGCTATGAGGTTAAAAAGTGATGTAATACCAACAAAATACTGTAATGTCATGTTTTTAGTCCCATATATACTACACTAAATAAAATTTTAAAAGAAAAAAACCTTTCATCAAAATAACCCAGGCTTTATTACTGGACAGTCATCTACTTATTGTGTAAAAGACCTGTCTTTAACACATGAAAACTAGGCTACCCTTGAATTCTGAAAGTTCTATGAGACACACACATAAATAATACTGAAACAAAGCAACATGCCAACTACAGAAAACGAGGTAACACACATCAACTGACCTCGAGCGCTGAAGACTTCGAGGAGAGACAGGTTCATGACCCTGCTGCTTGTCAGCAGTTACAGGCTGCTGCGTGACCGACTGTGACACTGGTCCTTGCTTAACTACCGGAGTACTAACCTAAAATGTCAAAAGCTGGTGAGACACATTTGTCACATAGGCAAATAACATAGAAACTAGAGGAAATGATATAAACATTTATGCAAATTACTAGTTAGGCTCCCAAGCTGGGTGTGGTAGTACACACCTGCGATGCCAGCACTCAGAAGGCTGAGGCAGGAGGATCACTGCAGGTTTGAGCACAGCCTGGACTACAAAGGGAATTCATTCCCAGCCTGAACTACATGGCGAGCTCCTGTCTCAAAATATAGAACCCAACCCAAAACAAAACAAAAAACCTAGGCTCCCAAATCCAGCTCACATCTTTCTAGTTAGTAACCTTACACATCACAAAATCTAGAGTTTTTGTGACGTAGACTCAAAGGTCTTGCCAAAGGTTGTAAGAAGATGAAGGTAAGTTTTGAAGCATATTTAATTTCTAGATAAATGGCCTAAACACTGTTGAAGTACATTACTGTCACCAGCAGAAAACACTTTTAGCAGTTTTTTCCCCAACATAGTGTAATCTCTCACCCGATTCACTATTACTTCTATATCTTTTTTCCCCAACATAGTATAGTCTCTCACCTGATTTACTATTACTTCCCCATCAGTATACATCTATTTTACTACCTCATACACATACTCAGATTTCAAACACATACTTTAAAAACCTAAATATATAGATTGAACTATGTGCACACACTTCAGCTTGAGTGGCCTTCCTAAAGATGTTACCATATAGAGGCAGACCAAGAAATCTATAAATACTAATGAGGAACATATGCTATTTATATTTTCATGTCATAGACAGCCAGAAAAAACAGAGCATAAATATAATAAATATAAGCTGTAAATTAAAGCACAAAAGCAGACAGAGCCTTTCATGATCCAGCCACATCCTAAAGCTGCAGGGTTTTGGACTGATTACACTCCCAGAGAGCAGAAATCTTTCCCATCTCTATCCCAGATCTCTTCATGTGTGCTTTACATTAATGGGAAATAAATGATGACTACACTGATTCACTGTATGTATAATCTGTTTGCTTTACAATACCAAGAGCCCTCTAAAGTTAATTCACTGAATGAACTTAGAAAAAGTTCAGGCCAGGCTTGATCTCAGTTTATAGCCCAGGTTGGACTTAAACTTGCAGCGAACCTCCTGCCTCAGCCTTCTGAGTGCTGGGATTACAGGCGTGCGCTACCATGCCTGGCCCCGAGTTACTTCTGATAAACCAACACTTGTCCTTTTCATAAAGAACATTTATAATACATTTTATAAAGAACATTTAGTAAGTTCTATGTAAACTCAAATGCTGAATTATTTTTGAAAAGAATTTGAGAAAAATTGGTAGTCATCTGCTTAAGGGATCTGAAATGCTGATTTTATATGACTATATAAAACACTCCACTACTTAATTCACTTTTAGTTACACTTAGTACACTTTTAAAACATCACCTTACAAATAAGTTCTAAGCTCTAAGAATAATGCCCATTTTGCTTATATTTAACTAGCACCTCATCAAAATGTAGACAAATAGTGACTGCAAAACAGACAACTGTAACTTGGTATTTAAAAAAAAAAATCAATCTGGACCTGGAAACATGCATAGACCAATGGTTGAGGAATGAAGGAGATGAATAAATCTGAAGATCTAGAAGGTGGCCTTCAATGTAACTTTGTGTCTAAGTTTTTCCTTAAGATCTTATGTGAGGGGGCTGGGGATTTAGCTCACCGGCAAAGCGCCTGCCTGGCAAGCGCAAGGTCGTGAGTTCAATTCCAAAAGATCTTATGTGAATACAGAATTCTTCAGCATTAAAAAGTTTGAAATAGCCCACTGTTTCATGCCTACTTAAAAAAAAAATCAGAACATACCTACAGTGAGTGCTAAGCCTTCAATGTTTTACATGTGTTATGTTAAAGAGCAAGCATGAGTGCAGCTGGTACTGACTGTATAGAAGGTGTTGTCAAGGAACAAATGATGCAGTACAAACTTGCCAGATAACATTGCTGAGGTCCTTGCTCACAGTCCAGTAATAGATGAGCAATGTTCTAGTCCAACTAAGATTTTGCTTAGACAAATACAGGCAGTATTGCTTAGTAAAATGGATTCTGTATTCAGCAAGATCTGTTACACATTCTGTCTCTACCACCAAAACTAGACCTAGTTTGATTCAAAGTTTAATTCTATCTATGAAATGAGGCAAACAGTATGTGATGCTCATCATATCAAAAAATTAAACATGGTACAAAGTTCTTAGTAGAAAAGACTGACTCATTTTAAAAATAAAAGTACGAAACAAAAGTCACTGGCAAACATTCTCTCACGGGCTTCAGAGTTTGAACGTTCTATAAACATTAAGACTTGCTCTTAATGCTACAAATGCCAAAGCCAATAGGGAAGGCGACAGACAGTGTACAAAAATGACCTGACTCAGGTTTCCTCTCCTACATCTACTATCAATCACTCGTATTCATTCAACTACTACACCTCAATCTCAGGAGGCTTTCTCTAAAACAGAGATTCTAAAATGTCACTAACTCTCCAAAAGTAAGTAGTTTCTTTGTACAACATTTCCCTCAAAGGTGACATACCTTTGGCTGTGATGAAACAGGAGGAGTACTAATCAAAGGTTTGATAGGGACGGTGTTAGTTTGAGGTGTGCTTATCCTTGGAGACACATAAGATCTTGGGGATGAGGCATCGGATGTTAAAGACATGGGAGACTGATTAGATGGCTGGGCTGTAAAAGAGTGAAGTAATTAACTTTAAATAAACCAAAACTTTTCGCAAGACATGCGGTAAAGATCTCTGCATCACACTCTACAGACCCCATGCCCTGTATTCCCCAAAGAACACTTACCACACTGACTAAATGAGCTACAGAGGTAAGCACACCCAGTGGGGTCTGCTCCTCCTTTCTGAGGCTGGAGCAGGCAGTTTAGCCTCAACCTACTTCCGTATGGTAGCATCCTTGGGATCTTTAGTTCTTCTTATTTCCATTAAGACCAGGTATCCCTTTCAGTCCCTCACCCTAGAGGCTAGCCAGGGGGTTGTGTCTGTGCACCACCTATCTCCATTCTACATCAGGTACCCTGCTCAGCTTCTTCTTGATGTTCTGACAAAGTGACCCTTTCCCACCTGTATGTATTTTGCTCCATTTGGATACCTTCATGGAGAAGAGAGACAGCTATTCAAGCAGGAACTAAGCACATCTCCTATCTTCCAGTCAACAACCATGAAACATCAATCTCAAACTTCAAGTCTTTTAACATATGAGATGTTTCAGTCATTTGATATGAAGACTAAGGTATATCAAAGTTTACTTTCAGTTCTGGAGTAAGGTATGTTACTAATGATTAAATTCTGAATTAAGCATATACACTGTGTCTGCAACTTACAAACATTCCAGTTGTGAACTTTCACAGTACCAGTGGATGCCACATTACGCAAATGTGAACAAATTGTAGAAGCAGCTCACGTGTTTGTAGGACACTGTTGCAGTTGTGCTGCTGTATGCGTTCTGTACGGTGTGCTAAGTGTACAGCAGTACAGTGCCCAGTCAGAGCCTAGCATGTCCAGAAGCAAGAGTAAAAGCAGTGGTGATGCGAAGATTTGGTTTCTTCATCCCTTACATTGTGTGTAAAATGTGTCAAAAGTGTCTAAGACTCATTTTGCTGGACTTAAGAACGAATATGACTTACAACCATTTCCCTGGAATGGAACTGCAGCTTGTAAGATGAGGACTTATTGTACTGCATTACAGATCTGACAGGAATACCTTAGGATACAGGTCAAAGCATGATTAAAAAAATAAAAATAGCACTTTTTTTTTTTAATGCAATCTTCCAAAAACCTAATGTAAAATCTGTACTGTAGTGTAATCTCTTCAAAAACAAAAAAACCAACCTGCTCTTAATTTCAAAACAAAACCAAAATATAATTTTAGAAGCATCCAAGAATATGAATAAATACCTTGTGTAGAGAGCTGAGCAGCTTGAGAAATCAGAGATGTTATGTTGAAAGCAGATGGTCCAGCAGTAAGAAATTTATGAATTATAGACTGCAGTGAAGCTTGTGTCACAGCTGCTGTAAGAACTAAAAACCCATTATTTCTTAAACTCAAATAAACACAAAAAGGCTTATGAACCACACTGACTATTTCAAATTAAGACACTGAAATAAATGAGAAATGGCTTGAGGCAGAGAAGACACTCATTGAGTTTACCATGAAGATAAACCCATAATTTCCTTTACACTAGGTCTCCCTCTGTAGGGACAGGCTGACCTCTGTAAAAAGGACAGGGTCTCCCTCTGTAGGTTCGGGCTGGCCTTTAACTATGTAGCCCAGGATGGTCTCAAACCTGTTGGTGATCTTCTTGCCTCAACCCGAGTGCTGGGATTACTGACATGCAAAGTCTTTAAAAGTATACAGAAAACACTATTAAATTACACCACCAATGGTATTAAACTATGAGGGACACTAATTTCTATTCTAAAAAATGAAGTTCAAACATGAATTTCAAAAGGTAATGAAACCATTCATGAACTGGAATTTTAGCATTTATTTATTTAAGTCTTTTGACACAGGGTTTCACTATGCACTTTAGGCTGGCCTTGAACTCACAGCAATCCTCCTGCCTCAGCCTTCCAAGTGCTGGGATTACAGGTATGAGCCACCATGCCTGGCTATAACATTTCTATTTTGTACAACTCAAGTGTATTTCCAAAACTTGTTATCATGAAAATTTACCTTCATTTATTTTGGATATGTCCATGTTAGAATTATTGAGCTGCAGTGTGGCTTGCAAAGCAGGAAGCAACTGTCTAAGAAGATTTGGGTCCTGAAGTAATGGAGGTATCGGTGACTGTGGAACAGGAGAAACGGGGACTGCAGAAGCAGATGTTGGAGGTGCAGATGTGGGATTCAGTCCAGAGGCAGAAGACGTAGAAGGAGTTGTGCAAGAATGTGATACTGATTTGTCTCCTGCTGTAGATTCTAAATATAAAGGAGATAAGGCTGAAAAAATGATCTGAACAGAAGAAACTACCTAAACACATAGGAGTATCTTTTACATGCTAGGTATCTAATATAAATAATCTCATTTCATCCTTATAAGGCCATTCAGTAAGTATTTGCCTCAGTAGAATAATGAGATAAATATTTTTGTATCTCTATGCATTGGTGAGAGACTGAATAAGAAAGATCAGGTAGCTTGTTTAAAGTAAAAGAATCTGGTATTACATTCATGTCTGATTGGAAAAGTACCACATCATTCTTGATACAAGCAATGCTGTCTCTAATGTGGTCATATACTAACCATACATTCAGATAGCTTCCATTAGGATAAAAGCACAATTCTTTATGAATTAATTTACATCTTAGGATAGAAGACAAATAAAATATCTATGACAGCAACAATAACCTAAAAATGAGCACAACGGCTCTAATATATGTCAAGACAGGCACCATGGTGTTCACTCCCAAAACAAGCAAAGATCTGATGAAGGAGACAGACTCCTGTTTTTGAGTTTTAGGACCACAGGATAAAAACCACCAATAAAAAGTAAAAGGTTAAAAACAAACCAAAGGTCTGCCTCATAGTATTTAAAAATAAAAACGTATAAAATATGTATGAAAAGCCGCTTTTACATATATGTATTTAATGCTATTGTAATGAAAGCCAATACTATTTTTATATTACTTGACAAAATAATATAAGCCTTGAAGATTCTATAAATTTTTGAAGAAGAAAAGAATATAGCAAGCCCTGTCAAATAAAAATAAATAAATTTAAGGTAGACTAAACTTCTATGTTTTAGTCTTTAAAACTTATCAAAGGTAAACAGGAAGGTTTTTAAAGAAAGTATTCTTGACATTATAAAACGTTTAAAAATTACAAAAAGGAAAACAATACAAAATATTAGCACCATAATATTTAAAAGAATTAACTGCAAATCAAAAACCACAAGGTACTCAATAGAAAAATTTTAAGGTATTTCTCAGAAGAAACCTGAATGACTACAAGATTAATTTTATTAACAATCAGAAAAAAAATAAGATAAAGCAAGACATCCATTTATATTCATCATATAGGAAAATATTTAAGTCTGACAAAACAAAATGCTGTCAAGAAGTAATGGGCTCAGTTATATAATGTTTCTCCTGGGAACTAAACTGGTATAAGAACATTAGAAAATAATCTGACATTATCTAGAAAAAATTAAGATGAACGTACTTATGCCCAATAACTGCCCTTATATATTATACCCTAATGGAAACTTTATAAATCACGAGACATTAAGTAATTACTAAAACAGCATTGTGTTTGTTTTAACTAAAATTTAGCAACAAAGCAGATACCCACCAACACAAAATGAGCACAAACTAATTATTTTCATTCCATAGGATTTAATGAACACAGTAACTCAATGCAGTGTAATATCAGAAACATGGGCCAGGTGTGGTGGTGCACGCCTGTAATCCTAGCACTCAGGAGGCTGAGGCAGGAGGATTGTTGCGAGTTTAAGACCAGCCTGGGCTACAAAGTGAGCTGAAGGCCAGCAGTACCATGAACTGCATAGCGAGATCCTATCTCAAAAAACAAGAAATTTGGACGTTCATATCACAGCATTCACTTTGGACTACTGAAGACATTCACATACATTCTTTGACGATATTGAGGTAAAAACTAATACAAATGTTTGCTAAAGAATTTAAAATTTTCCTATATATACTCATTATTAAAGGTTTTTCAAGACTGCATCGTATGACTGAATAAGACTATGCTTCCATCGTATGACTGAATAAGACTATGCTTCAAAAGTCACGTTTAAATTTTAAGAGCATGAGTATTACACTGTTGCCTGCTGCTGTAATTATAACATCTTCCAATTCTGGGAACTAAACACTGATCTTCATGGCCTGAGAGAAGCTAAGAACTGCTAGCTTGCTCACTGAATAGAGGACTCCCTTACCAGCCTTTTAATAATACCACAATCACGACAGTCAAGAACTAGGTATAACAGGTATCTCTAGTATGGATAGCTATTTTAGCACATTTCAGACTATGCTGATTAACTGTGACAAACTCAGAGAGCTACGATAGTTGCATTTTAATAAACGATAGATACACTATAAAGGAAAGATCCTTAGAGTCTGACAGACTGCCTACCATTTTTCCTGCTTTGCCAGTCTGATTCATACACAAATGTAAAGAAATCTGTATGGAATGATGAAAAATTTATTCCTTATGAAAGCCTGTTCACTTAATCAGCAATTACAGCTTTTATTAGCATTTTTCTCCAGATCATCTCTCTTTTTTTTTTTTTTCACTTAAAGCAGATGGGCATCTTTATTAGTATGCAGAATAAAATACATTTTCTATTTGTATTTACTGCACGGACAATTACATTAGCACTTATAGTCACTGTTATTTTCTGGGCATTTGTTTTTGCTTTTAATGACAGAAGCTGGAAAAGGGGGTGCAAAGGGCTTTCAAATTCTTCATTGAGGATAGCAATGTGTAATATAAGAAAAGCTAATTTCTATCTTGATTTGAAATTCTGTATCTTTTTTTGTTACCGTTTTATTTTTCTCTTAAAGTCCTCAGTATTAGTCTTTAAGTCAAGCAAATGAAATGCCACAAAACAGAATTCTGAAATAGATAAGCAGAGTGGAAATCAACTGATCCTACTTAATAGTGTATTTATGGGACTCTGGGCTAGTCACCTACCTGGAGGCCAGAATTTTTCTATTACAGTTGGAGTATTATATCTCAACAGATTACTTATCAGCATCACTTCTGAAGCTTAGAAAATAGATACCCAGGCTTCAACTCAGATCTAATAAGCCCTAGGAAACTTACTTGTAAGTATGACTTGAAGTTCTACGTGTGATTTTGGCACCTTTGGTGGTTACAAAACAAATAGGTGGGCCCGGGAGATAGCTCAGGGGCATAGCACCTGCCTGGCAAGTGCGAAGTCCTGAATTCCATTCTTGGTACCAAAAAAAAAAGGCTGGAGATTCTTAGGTTCCCTTTAACTAAAAACATGCAGAGGAAAATATAATTACAACAAACAAAGTACAATGCAGAAAACTGAGGAGAGTAAGAATACATCAAAGACAGGAAAGCTAAACCTGTTTTCTTTCTAGGTAGATTATCAGTATAGTATTTTTATATTTTTTTTTATAATGCCTCCAAATGCCCTTCCAAGGATGTTACAAGTTATTTAAATGTTTTTAATTATATGCCTCAATCTCCTTACATAACTGGAAACTAGAATTTAGTAAAACAAAAACTAACAAAAAACCCCAAAATGTACAAGTTTTATTTTAAGGTGCTAATTTGGGTCACTCCTGCTTGTTTAGGGTGTCCTAACACAGCATCTATTACTCAGTAATGTTCTATCTGAACATGAGCTTCCTCAGCAGAGAAATTGTATTTATCTCAGTTACTAGTCCTAATGCAAAATGGGAGTCAGCATCAACATGTATTTGTTAACTACAAGCCAGATTCTGCAATTAAGCACAGGCGTACATTTAAGCACAATCTCTTTCAACTCCTAGGTCAATCTTTTCAATTGGCATCAAATCTGCTGGTGTTGGGATGCTGGGTTCTAATATATGTAAATGGCAGAAGTTAATAAACTTTGTGCTAAATTCATAAAGCCAAGTAACGTGATATAGTGTAGACCCAAATTATCTGACATGTATTTTAAATGCTACCCATAAAATACCAAAGCACTTTTTTATAGAACAAACAAAATTACCACTAAGAGTATGTTTTCTCTATGATGAATGTGATTGTTACTTATATCTAAAATGTACCAATAAAATCTAATGTTTAAAAAAAGAACACTCAAGCCAGCTGTGGTGGCGCATGCCTGCAATCCCAGCACTCAGGAGGCTGAGGCAGGAGACTGCCACAAGTCCTAGACCAGCCTGGGCTACACAGTGAACTCACAGCCAGCCCCAACTATACCGCCAGACTGTTTCAAACAACAACCACCTTTGCTGGAATTTATTGCTTTAGAATGTGGACTAATACATGTGACAAATTTTATACTACATTTTATTAAACATGAATAGAAAATTTGGAGTTTTAAAATTTGCCAGCAGAAGATAAATAAGTTATGTAACAGTAAATGTAGTTTTCTGCATTACCAAGTCATTTTAATTGACTCTCTTGCTCTTTAATAAGAGCATCAGCCTCTACTTGTCTTCAATGCAGTTTCCTAAGCATTTAAGAAACTCCAGCTACTTTAGTAGGTGTTTTCCCATAATGTCTTTGGCAATGGAATGGTATCTCATTTTAGCTCTAGTAATTTGACCACATGTGCCTATATGCTTTTTTTGCTTTTAAAGTGTGTGCATCTACTGTGAGAGGTAAAAAAAAAACTTTCCTTCCCTTTACACTTACATTTATGAATTGATTCGTGTTTTCAACTTTTGCCAGAAGGGGGAGGCACCTACCTAAAACTAAACTACAGAATTTATCATTCCACTCTTCTAAATCACCCTTCCAAGACATCCTCGAGTATATAAACCAGACACAAAATCATCTACATTGTTCTAGTATGTCTAGTAACTGCGTGATAGTGGCATGTGCGTGCATTTCCAGTACCTTGGGAGCCAGAGGCAGGAAAATTTCACATTCAAATGCAGCCTGGGCAACTTAGCCAAGCCCTGCCTCAAAATTAATAATAGAAAGAGCTGTGGATATAGCTCAGTCTGAAAGCAACAAAAATATCTACTGAATAACTCCTCACTCACCACCCTTACCAGCTACTGGCAGCCACTATTCTATTTTCTATCTCTCTCAATCTGTCCATTCCAGGCACCTCATATACATGGAATCACATAACACATAAACTTCTGCATCTTAGCATTTCCTTAAGTGTAATGTTCTCATTGTACAGCATGTGTCAGCATTCTTTATGACTGCTGACTAACACTGCATTATATGCATAAACATCACATTTTATTTTTTCCATCTG